TGTCGCTTTGCCTCTGTATGACGCATTGTTTCTGTATGTCTTTAGTAGTTTATAAATGTTTGGTTACTCCAACTGTTGATTTAGAATCGTTGAAAACAGATGCCTGAATTACGAATTCTAAAACTGAAAAATACTAATATTTATTATGAAGTTATTTTGTTCCCTTTTATTTTTAGTGTACCTGAAAATATTTTCAATATAAATTCACGCGAAGAGCTTGTATTTTCCCAACATTGTCAATGTTAGTAAATATTGATTTCCTGATACTTCAAACACTTAATATTTTACATTACGTTCTATACTTTGTACACGGCAATCAATAAACATTCCACTTTGATTACATGTTAACAGTACTTTCCTTGCTGCATTGCAGTGACCAATGGCACAGCAAATGCCAACCACTGCGCGAAAGTGCTTCCAGACTTCTCCCTTTGATTGGTTCCATTAGCGATAATCCCAAATTTACGCCCTTTGATACACACGTTTATTTTGTACACGCAACGCATAGGTTCAAAGCAGTAGCACATGAAAGGTTGAAACTCCGCCACGCATTTGGAAAATGCGTTATCGAAATAAAGAGTTGTTTTTCACAATGTTAAATAGTTCTTGAGTAGGATGACTCACACAATTAATCAGTAGATTAATGAGGCTAATTAAACCCCATTAAGTTTTCACACTCTCGCATACTACTAACGTAATATAGAGAATAAGCTGCTGCAAGAAAATGTTGTTTTACAATAGAAGACTCATTTTCCGCGCCCTTAATACGCAAAAAGCGATATTGTTTCTATATGTAGTAAATAACTTCCTTTGATCACGTTGTATCAGTCAGAATCCTTGTTTTGCGTTCTTGCTACCGAAAAGTAGATTTACAATAAAACGAAATGAAATAATTATATAAATCGTCATGGCCAACAATACTGTTTATTACAACAGCAGCTTTTGATGGCTTAGCCATCAACATCAGTTTGCTGCTGTATGGAAGACACAAAACGACAACAAAGGTCGTTTTGTGCCTTACATATAGCATAAAACTGATGATAATGGCTAAGCCATCGAAAGCTGCTATTGTAATAAACAATATTGTTGACAATGACTCATATAATTATTTCATTGTAAATGCCAACTATAACTCACCACAATACCAATATTACAATAAAGCGTCTAACTAAGTTGTGCGTAATTTTTTCATGAAATAAAGACAATTTTAATAACCACATTTTCTCTCTAAAAATGCCTTCCAAATGGTTTCTCTGATTTTAATCTCGAATAGTACAAAGAATGCTCATAAAAGTTTCTCAGCTCCATTTCCGTTAAACTCTGACTTTTCTAAAGCTGCAAAAGCTACACGTAATATGAGAAAGTATGTGTTCTTTTTTTTGTTCTTGAAATGTCATGTAACATTTCACTTTACTATCATTCCCTTCATTCATTCATGAAAATCTTACACGTGAATGAAGGCGAACACGAAGAAAAAATATTCCAATAACTTTGTATAGAAGTCAATGTGAGAACAACAATCATAATTTACAAAAGTCTCAATTCAGTTGAATACGATAAATACAATTTTGAACATTTATAATCAGAATTTAATTCTCCACAAATAGATTATAAAATATGATTAAAAATTCCAGAAATTACTTACTGGAAGATTACTAGTTTTATTACATAATAAATCTAATCAGAAATGATTGGCGTCCGCCTTCCTAAACGCAGCTAGATTCTTGGATTTGAACATTCTTAATTTCACTAATTCGTTTATTAGTGATTCGGGGCGCGTCAATTTCTAAGGTCATCGGTCCCGTAAGTGCAGTGCATGTTCATTGCATGAGGTTGCGGTGATCTTCCCCCGCTGCCTGACGAAATCCGGTGTCGACGTATGTAGGCCTGCGGGAATTTTCTCCTAAAAGGTATCTCCCACCAAAGTGGCATCGCCCCAGCAGGGACAAGCTCTAAGCTTCCGATTGGTCTCCTCACAAGTGTGGTCGTGTAGTGCGTGTCAGTGT